TATGTAAGTGAGTATGAAAATCTGTGCTATCGAAGCAGAAAATGAGTGCTTGCATCAACTTAATACAGTGTCATGACATGGAAAAACAGTTACAAGGCACTGTTAATCAGTACTTACAATGTTTTTTTTTCAGTGACAAAGACACTGTTTTTTACTAGACCAGATGGGCACTTTAGTGTCACATTATGATGCTGATATTCAATGACAGACACTGATCTTCAGCTGTTCTGACACTTAATAAAAGTGATTTGGACATTTATTTTTAGTGATTTTACTTTTTACAGTGTCTCTATGTGGAGTTGTTACCATGCTTAACACCTGTACTTGGTGTAGATCATTTCAGCACAACTACTCCCTCATCCGAAAGACTCCATGGGTCATGAGGTAATCGACCAGAACATCAGAGATCCCTATGTGGAAGTCTCAATATACACTCCAGACTAGGCACATTTCTCTTGTTCATCCTTGTCTTCAGGCTTGTCATCTCCATTGGTTTCACCAAGATCAAGTGGTTTGGGTGTGACCTGCACCATTACTGCTCACATGAGCTCCATGAAGAATAATGGGCTCAACCCTGTCCAGCAAGAGAGTCTTCGTCTGACCTTTGAGTGCACCATGAACTTGCTGGACTTGGTGTTTGTACAGTTTACAGTCCTGAGGGATGGAGAAAATGACAGTGAACCTATTGCAGTGTACTGTGTCAACTTGGCAAGTCTGGCTATGGGTAAGTGTGACTTCATCTTCAACTGACTAGTTATTTAGGTTTTCATATGATGGGATTGCTGATTTACTGTGTTGTTGTTGACAGGTTACAGGCACCTACCTCTACACAATTCTCAACTCTGCCAGTATCTGTTCTCAACACTGTTTGTGAAGTGTTCATTGCAAGATGCTTAAATCTTCGACTTATACCCATCCACACTCATCATGGATCATCTGTCACAACTTCACAAGCACATCATTCATGTCTCACTGCAAATATTTCGACCATACTGGCTCATCCTGGTATGCATACCCATTCATTAGCCTCATGTCCCATGTACAAGTGTACTTTTAGTGCAAGAGTATATATACAGTAGAACCAAATCATAGCAGTCAAAATCTTCAAAGAAATGTGTGCCATTGACAAACATATATGCATGTGTAGAATGAAAACTTCTTGCCCTTGCTGTTCTTGGTGTGCAGAATAGTTGGATTTATCAAAGAAGCCTCTACTGTCACATTGTGTGACATGTTTAGAGCCAGTTCAGAAACTGGTGTAGAGCATTGCCAAGCATTACTGACTCATGTTGGCTTGTTTGAGTCTAACAGCACATGCCAAAGTTTAGTCAGAGCCATAATCTGTGCTGGGCTGCTGATAGTGATAATCAATCAGCATGTACTACAGTATGTAACCCTACATGTGCCCTCTCAGCCTAGAACAATGCCATCATCTGGTAAAGTATATTGCATTGGTCCTCAGCATCATTCTCTGTGCAGTCACACATCTCCTTGAATCAGATCTTGGCCAAGAACCTCAGCCATACCACACCTCCCACCTGTCTGGTGAAGACTGGGTGCTGGAACTGCTTGTGGGTCACCCAGAATGCATTTGTTGCAAACTTGGGATGCACATGGAGGTTTTCCAGCAGCTTATCATCGCTTTGCAGCAGCTTGGACTCAAGAATTCAAGGTTCGTTTCTCTCGAGGAACAACTTGCAATATTCCTGTATACATGCATCACTGGCCTGCCATTCAGGCATGTAGGGGAGTGCTTTCAATGATCAAATGATATGATTTCATGGTATGTATTTAACACTCCTCCAATGTAACTACTGCATGGAGTTTCCAGTTATTTCCATATGATACTCACCATGCTTGCAATACAACCTTTTTATACAGACTACATTCAATTTCCAGCTGGCAATACTGTTCCTTCAAAGATCCAAAACAACCCAAAATTCTGGCCATACTTCTGCAATGCTATCAGCACCATTGATGGATGCCATATCCATGCATCTCCCCCCACCTACATATGTTTGAACTACTGGAACTGCAAGGGGTATGTTTCCCAAAACTGTCTCTTCACATGTGATTTTGACCTATGGTTTATTTACTCTCTTATGGGCTGGGAGGGCAGTGCAGCAGACACCCATGTCTACAAATATGCGACCACACATGACTTGAGGATTCCCAAAGGAAAGTTTTTGCTTGCAGATGCCAGATTTCCTGCAGACTGAATGTTGCTTGTTCCATGCTGTGGTGTATGCTACCATTTAGCTGAATGGGGCCATGCTAGTGTAATGTAAGTAATCACACTTACAATCCCCTGACCATCCTACTGATGAAAACTGCAGGCCTGTGAACAAGCAGGAATTGTTCAACTTGTGGCATGCATTGGCCTGCAATGTTATTGAATGTATTTTTGGTGTCATAAAGCATCATTTTCATATCCTTTCACTAGTTCCACCATTTGATCTCCAGATGCAAGCACAGCTGCCAGCAGCACTTTGTGCCCTTCATAATTTCATCCACATCCATGGTCCATTTGAAGGTGAACTTCCAGAAGACTTTGGTGCTCCATTTGATGCAGGTGTACAAGGTGGCAATGGGTTGGAGGGGCCCAGTGTACTGGAAGGCAATGGAGAACATCCAGAGGCACATGCATTGCATGATCAAATCACTGAGGCAATGTGGATCGATTACCAGGCCATCCTGAGGGAGAGAGAGGCAGTGGGACACATGGAGCTCCTTGAAGATGAGTCTGACATGGATGTGGATGGTGCTGAGGATGAGTATAGTGGTGGGGAATATACCTAGGAACTACTGCCCTTCCATGTACATTTTTTTAATGTGAAGACTTAATTCCAGTGATTACTCTTGATAAGTCATCCAAAACAGTGTGAATTACAACAACAAATGAAAGAGGTACATGTCAGTATGGAAAGTATATGCAGCTACATTGTAATTCAAAGTGGTCCCCCCTGATCAACACCACCTTCCTGCAGATGACCAGCAATTGATCATTGATACTCTTGGTTGGCAACAGCTTGATGAAGAGTGGTATTTGTGATGGATGCATACATCATTGCCTTCTTCTCATCTGCAGGAACAGTGTGCACCATAAATGCACCCACCTCAACCAGTAGCAAGGAGTCCTCAGTGGACAGAAGGGTCAATGCCTTGGAAAGGTGGTCAACAGAACTGGTGGCAATGGCTCCATGCTGGACAGTGGGGGTGGGGGTGGGGGCAGGTGAAGCAGCACTTGCATTTGCACTGTCATGGTATATCAAACCAAGGAGATCAGTCATGTGGTTGACAGTGCCAGTCAGACCAAACACTGCAGTCCCAGCTGAGAGTTTGGGCAGAATTGGCTGTTGATTCCTGGGAGGACCAAAGGACTGGGCAGATGACTGACCAGACCCACAAGATGGTTTACATGATGGGGGCAGGGTAGAAGTGTACAAAGTTGGATAGGGCCCAGAAGAAAATGTGCATTTCTCCTTACCAGTCCTACTGACACTCCCTGAAGACATTCCCAGCCCCTTCACTGGGAAGGGAGGGTATGCTGGGATGCTGGCTGACAGCATGCCCACCCTCTGAGTCAGAACCACAAGGGGCAATGCTGGGATGCTGGCTGATGGTGTGCCCACCCCCTGAGTTGGGACCACAATGGGCAATGCAGATGGAATCAGTGGATCAGGGTGCAAAGGGTTGGGAAAAAATGTGGGAAATTCAGCCATGAAGTTGATATACAAGGGATTGGGAGCTGGGTTCATGCCACTGATGTTACTGTTGGAAGGCTTGTCAAAGTTACCTGGCCATGTTTCTTGATCTTCATCCTCAAGCCAATTTGGGGGCCAGTTGGATGAGGGGGCCTCCAATGGTGTGTACACATTAGCACCTTGTGCCCCTCCTGATGGGGTGATCCATCTTCACATAAAATGGCCATCCCACATTTTTATAGGGCAGGATACATCATCCACTCTGATGCATTCATGTTAGATGAACTGATACCACTCAATGATAGGGGACAACATACATTGGTTGCAACATAGCTATTCCACACATTCTCTTCAGCTGGTGTGATGATATTGGCACCAAAATGTTCATCCCATGAGCCAGACCCAGAGTGTTGAATGAAGCCTTTGATGGAATTATGGATCACTTTCAACTAATAACAATATCAGTCAAGGCTATCAGTGTGAGGAGGATGCACTTACCCATCACCATTTATTTTGAACCTGCTGAGCAGTTCTTGTGGGGGGTGAGTTAGGTGGAGCAATCACAGCAGTGGCACTAGAAAATACACTGGATTTGAAGTTGCCTGAATCACCTTGTTCTGACCAGTGTTCAATGAGGTAGTCAAGGAGAGCATGAGTCTCTGGATCAGTCCACTTGTGACTACTCATCATTTCTGACTCCTGATCTGATTCTAAAAGAACAAGGAGTCTAGCAACATGTAGAATGCAAAGTGTAGCAGAAGTGATACAAGCAATAATGGGTTTGAGGTCATCATATCGACGAGCAATCATTGTTGTATAGTTGCAAGGAAGGTTGAAACTCCGCTTTGTAGTTCATGGAGCATCCCAGGCATGTTAACTGACACATGTGTCAGCAATGGGTTGCACACTGGTTTCCGAACTAGCTCTAAGTTTTTTCTTTCTCTTTTTTGGGTTACATAAGAAGTCGAGCTTGTACGGTAGGCAGTGGTCCAATTCGAAGCTAGATAGCCCTCAAGCTCAAGGACCTTCGATATCATTTAGTGCCTGATCAGGGGCATGTTGACCTATGTCGCAAAAACAGACTTTTGAGTTGAACCCCCTGTCACGGCCTACCGGTGCCTCACGAACGCATGAATACCGCGCGTTTTAGACACACTGTTCTTTTGTTGTGAGGTCAGCTTTGGACGTGTAGTGTCGAGTTGTCCTGGGTGTTCTTGTAGTACGAGGAAGACCAGTTACATAAAACGGACAGTACAGATATGTGAATGAGATGATCCAGTACACCTCTATCTCTGTGCTACCTGAAGATCTCCGACCAGTAAGTTACTTACAATGAGCTAACTTTTCTAATAGCTTTCCTCGATAAGAGTGGGAAGCAGGAGGGAACCTTGAAGGATGGCGCTTGCTTGGCCGGTAACCGAACAGAGCGAAAAAGGACACGTGGTCATCGCGTGTTCTCTGCAGCATTGCACACAGCAAGCTCAGGCGCCCGAAGGCACTGTGCGACTTGCGCTGACCCCTTACTCTTCCTGCAGTCACCACACAGCCCTGTATGATGGCTTCGCCGCTGAAACTCTCCTGTATGACTTGAGATTGTCAAGTACCAATTCCTGGAGACTAATTTCACGAAACACCTGTGTGCAGACATCGAGTTGCAGAACGCACAAGGCATAGAATCCGTCAAACTCCAACTCAATGGCAGTGAATACTCCCTTGCTCGAAGTCAAGAGAAGAGCGACACTTTTTCGAAAGCTTTTGATAAGCCATTGTCAGTATCCTTTCAGCTACACGTCAATCCCACCTCTCAAGCTCACGGCTGATCCACGATAGGACATTGGAAACAGAGCCGCTCTCTCTTTCTGTAAGCCGAAAGAGGTCGTGGTTCTCTTGCTGTGGCGAAACGGATCCAGAAACCGTTACAATTCGCCCTGATCATGTTCAGTCCAAGTTAGATAGGCAAGGTAAACTCAGGCTTATGCATCGTTCTTTGGGCTCCTCAAAATTGCAGAGTTTCAGCACGTATGGGACAAAGTATCCATCAAGCTTCGCTTTCTGCCCCAAACCCAGTCAGGCGTACGCAAAAAAACAGGCGTTACACGAGGAATGCTAACGGAAGGTTTTCAGGTTACGGCTCCGAGTGTACCCGCGAATCTTGTGCCTTCACAATCGACCACTGAGCAACCAATCCCAATCGCTGGCCGTTCCACATTGGCTGTAAGTGGGAAGCGGGCGGTACTGGACATGTGCTGATAGATGGCAACTAGCAGAATACAGCTTTGAGTGCAGGTACACGTGTAGCTGCCGACATACCTGCACCTTCCAGCACACTTGCACCTCCCAATCGCAAAGATCTACGACCAACCACTGACGAGCTCATTCAGCAGTGTCCTCGGTGAGTCTTAATCTCACACCTGTCAGTGTCTCACTTGTCGCCATGTAATAGTTTCCGAGTCTTGGTAGTTGGAAAGGTAACTTGAACTTGCATGCCGCCACTCACCTAGGTTCTAACATCCTTATAGTCAGGTGTTGGAAAGTCCACTTTGATCAATCGAATCTTCGGTGTGAACACTGCGGTTGAGTGGTTCAAATTCTGTGTCCCTACCTGGCGTTGATGACGGCCATAGATTGTAGAAAAGGATAAACCAGGGGAGGCAGACATTGAACAGGAATTCACTTCGCCAGAGAACGACCGGCTCATTTTGCATGATAGCAAAGGTTTTGAAGCGGGCGATGCTGGCAACTTTGAAACCGTGAAGTCATTCATAGTAGAGAGGAAGAAAGAACCCGATATCAAAAATCAGCTTCACGCGGTCTGGTAAGTAGTTCTGAGACAGCCACGTTGAAGGTTTTGACGGAAGGGTCAATATGATAGGTTGTGTTTTCAGATACCCATTCCAACATACGGGGAACGACTTTTGGAGGACGCTGCAGAAGCGTTTTTGAAAATAAGGAAGGAAGTCCTAGGGAATAGTGAGCAATTATATTGTTGTTTAATCTCCAGTATACCAACCGCATTCAGCGCCGACGATAGTCGTATTCACGAAACATGACCGGCTCGTGACTTTCATGCGGCAGAGAATGCCAAACGATCCTGAAGCAGGGCAACGATATCTGCAAGAAGAATGCGTCCAACTAATCAAGGAGTTTACGGGAGAGAATATTGCACATGTTGCAGTTAGCTGTGGGTGTTACTCCTTCGATTCCGTTTTCCCACTCAGCCCAGCGACCACCAGCGAAACCCAAATATGAGCAGGGGCTTAAGGACCTAATAAGCCTTACTCAGGACATGGTATCTATGAGTTTCACCTCCACGGAGAACCGAGTATCGCCAGTGCCTCTGGCAGCTGCAGGGGCACAACGAATGTTGCCTACATTGAAGGTTGACTTATCAATCGCGTAAGTGTGAAGCATTGCGACAGTGCATGTATTTTGACTTGTTAAACAGCGTAGGAAAGCAAAGTAAGTCTGGAAGTATGCAACACTTTATTAGAGGCCGACCTTTTTACAAGAATACTGGAGTGCGCTGGGTACCAGCGCAAACTTCCCTGGTCATACAATACAGGACTGCCTTCGTGTCATACACAATGACATCGTGGCGGTCTGGAACTTTTATGACCCTTGCCAAGTGAGCATTGTTGCCCTAGCAGCGAGCCTTACTACGATGTGCTGACATCTCCCTTGTAGTACTTGAATAGTGAGGAATTCCGAAAGGTGATGATGAACATGGTTGAGAGGATCGATACACCAGCTGAGCCAAATTCCCTCGCTCGCACCGACACATTGACCGGGTAAGTGTCGTTGTTGGAACCCCCTGTGCGACAAGCTCAAACGAATCGCTGCCCATCAAGGGGGGTCCCACTCATTGCTCTAGCACCTGTAATGCTGCCATTAAATGCTTTCCTCGGCCTTGGCAAGTGGGTTCTTGCAACATACCAGCGACTGTGCGTGGCACTTTTGTGATGCCTTCAGCATCAGATGACTCAGTGACCTCTCAGACAAGACGTTCCCACAAAGTTCATGGCGTACATCGTTGATTTGACACACGTACTGGAAATACTGTTTTCACTCACGGCTGGGATAAGAGCAAAGAAGCTTACTCGTATGGCGGTTAAGATGGCATATAAAGCCTACCTTGAATCGCAATGGGTAATGTACACCCACACAGAAATCAGGCATTTCCAATGTTGGACTGCGGCTCGTGACGTAGTTCTTGAGAAGATTACAACTATGATCACTTCAGACGGCAGGGAGGTTCATGTTTCTAGGGCGCTCGAAAGGATGCCATCGGTTGACTTGGAGAGAGATGAAGAGTGGACGAGCGAAGAAGCCTCTCGGTGAAGCCTGTGCTTTCATTCAGCATCTTTTCCGGACGTTTTGCATACTTTTACTAGCTTTCCTGTTGTATCGCGGTACTAACGCTACTCCTGCCGTATCTCACTGTATTTGCACGTTGTAGCTGATTTGGATCAAAATTTTCCTGATGCGAGAAGTCCTCGGGCAGTTGAGAGCGTCGGTGTCAAACCGATCCGGAGGTGCCCACACGTCACCCGTTTACAACACATTGCCCACATTATAATGCACCTCTCGCCTGCATTCCTGGAGGTTTACGAACAGAGTACTGCAAGGGACGCATCAGATGGGCCACTGACACAGCCTATACTAGGATTGGCAGGTTGAGGTAGCTTAGGACAAGTAAACGGATTGGCATGTATTCGAAAAATTCTGTTCTGCATGAGGGCGAAGTCGGGCGCTCTCGACGGTGGTGGTTGCAGACTCATCGTACATCGTGGAGCAGCGGCTGTACCTCAACTGTACCTTGAATGTACCTCTGACAGGAGTTGATTTCCGAAGGTCAATTCTGGCTGTGCTGAGCGTCAGATTCCTCCGTGATCATGATCTCGAACCAGACGTTACAGTCCCCCTTTAGGATTCTCAGGGGTGACCCACAGTGATAACGTCCGGGTCAAGACTACCCGTAAATGTAAATGGATTATGGGAGCTTCGTTCCAGTCAATTGGAGGGTGGGGCTGTGGGGTTTCATGTCGTTGTGCCAGTGAAGTATGGCTGGTGTTGGAAAGAAGGGTGAAGCGGGCCACCTGCAGCGTGACGGCCAACAACCTGCCAACAGTACTTCTTGGGCGCCTGACGACAGCATGTAAACGCACAGCAGCCTCCTAGTCGCTCACCATCTCGAACCATGTCTCTGCCTTTACAGTTATTTTGTATGTCTTTAAGATTGTTGTTAACATCTTTACTGGACTAACTTTGTGGGCAGATATCGCGTTGGAAGATGTACTAAAAAGATATCAAATCCGTAGAGCTCGTCGTCAATAACATGGTGTACCTTGTACCTCGAAGCCAACAGCGGAGTGACGCTTTTCGCAAAGACATAGATGAACCTTTGTCAGTCTCGTTCAAACTGCCTGTCTGAGTCAAGCCCTTGACTGACCCACCGTAGAACGTTCGCCCCGGGGCAGCTCTCCGTTTCCGTACGCCGAAAGAAGTCGCGTCTCCGTTTCCGGCATCAGCCGCCTGTTGAAACCTTCACGATCGGTTCGGGCGATGTTCTCTCCAGATTGGAAGGACATGGTATATTCCACCGTGCAAATCTTTCCTTCGACTCCTGAGATCTGAGACCCTTGCAGTGTTTCAGCAGAAATGGGGCGAGTTACTCGTCACCCTCGGATTCGCATCCCAAACCCAAATAGCCGTACGCAAATAATAGATGCCACTGAATGGGTCTTGACAGAGGGCCTGCAGAGTAGAGTTCCGAACCCAAACCCATCTTCCCCCGCAGATACCGAGAGTCTGCAACCAAATGCCGAGCAGTCGGTCGCAGTGCGAAGCGTACCAACCGTAAGTGAAGAATCAAGCACTGCGAGACGAGTCCTGATATGGAGGGCTTGGAGGATGTTACAGTCGGCAGTACAGGCACATCTGGACTGTCAAATTCCGAAGGTTTACAGCCAACCACTAAGGAACTGATCGACATTTGTCCTCGGTGAGTACCAAATCCCCATGTTTGGACAGTTGATTCATCTATGTGCAATAGCTTTCGAGTCTTTGTAGTTGGAAAGGTAATCTCGGCTTGCACTCGTCACTCGAGAAGATCCCAATAAAGGTATCCTTGTAGTCAGGTGTAGGGAAGTCGACTCTGATCAATCGAATATTCGGTCTGGAAGTTGCGGTTGAGTGATTGAAGGTTTTCATTCTTACCTTGCATTAACGAACTCTATAGCACGTCGCAAAAGATCGACCAGGGCAAGCAGCTATCGAGAAAGAACTCATTTCACAGGAGAACAACAGATTCATCTTGCACGGCAGCCGAGGTTTCGAACCAGCCGAAGGCAGCAACTATGACGTCGTGAAGTCATTCATAGAAGAGAGGAAGAAGATGCCAGATGTCAAAGATCAGCTTCATGTGGTCTGGTACGTCCTTCTGAGGTAGACATTTGAAGGTTTCGAGAGCTGATGTGCACGATAGGTTATGTTCTAGGTACCAATTCTAAAATACGGACGGCTGCTGGAGGACGGTGTGGAAGCGTTCCTTAGAGAAGCGAAGGAAGCCTTAGGGAACAGTGAGCAAAACCATTCTCTTCGCATCTCTTGTTTTTCGACTACTGCTAGTCCCGACCACAGTGGTATTTACCAAGTACGACAGAGTTGTGAGTTTCGTGCGAAAGAAGAAGTCAACAGACCCTGAGGCGGAGGCAAAACGATATTTGCAAACGTATCGCATGGAGCCGATTCAAGACTTCACAGGAAGCACAAACATCTCGCATGTTGCGGCTAGCTGTGGGTATCATTTCATCAACTCCCTGCTACCATTCAGCTCAGACATCACTAGCGAAACACAAGTGCGAGAGAGGGCTCGAGGAGCTGATAAACCTCACTCAGGAAAAGGTATCTAAGAATTTCGCCTCCCCGGGGAATGCAGTATCGCCAGTGCATTTGGCGGCTGTGGGGGCGCAACGAATGTTACCAACATTGAAGGTCGAGTTGTCCATCGAGTAAGCCTGGTTCATGGCGATCATGACATCTGGTCTAAATTGATTCCCATTTACATCTGCAAAACTACCCGAGGGAGTGAGCAGGTTATACCTGCCTCCGTTTGGAAGTGACTTGTCGTAAGACTCGCTAAGACACTTGTTGGCCAATGAGAGAGCTCGCTCAAGTGCGGAAGAGCTGTTAACAGCCGCGTCGCGTAGCTGTTTCCCAGATGTAGAGTAGCACGGCCACCTGTGAATTTCGGCATATAAACGCACAGCAGCTTCCTAGACGCGCACTATCTCGAGCCATGTCTTTGCCTCTACAGTTATCCTGTACGGCTTTGAGATTGCTGTTAAAGCCTTTACTGGACTAACTTTTCGGGCAGATATCAAGTTGGAAGACGCGAAAGATGTCGAATCCGTAGAGCTCGTCGTCAACAACATGGTATACCCTATACCTCGAAGCGATCAGCAGAGTGGCGCATTTCACAAGGACCTCGATGAACCTTTGTCAGTCTCGTTTAAACTGCACGTCATCAAGCGCTTGACTGACCCACCGTAGAACGTTGACTGCGGGGCAGCTCTCCATTTCCGTACGCCGAAAGAAGTCGCGTCTCCGTTTCGGGCGCCTGCCGCTTGTTGAAACCTTCACGATCGATTCGGGCGATGTTCTCTCCGGGTTGGAAGGACATGGTATATTCCACCATGTACATCTTTCCTTCGACTCCTGAGATCTGAGACCCTTGCAGTGTTTCAGCGGGAACGGGGCAAGTTACTCGTCACCCTCGGATTCGCATCCCAAGCCCCAATAGTCGTACGTAAATAATAGATGCCACTGAATGGGTCCTGACGGGGGGCCTGCAGACTAGAGTTCCGAACCCGAACCCATCTTCCCCTGCAGATGCCGAGAGTCTACAGCCAAATACCCAACAGTCGGTAGTAGTGCGAAGCATTCCAACCGTAAGTGGAGAATCAAGCGCTGCAAGACGAGTACTGATATGGAGGGCTTGCAGGATATTGCAATTGGCAGTGCAGGTATAGGTGTCGCTGCCAACACACTTGCACCTGCGAATCGCGATAGTCTACGACCAACCACTGAAGAGCTCATTAAACAGTGTCCTCGGTGAGTCTCAACTTCACACTTGCCAGTGTCTCACTTATTGCCGTGTAATAGTTTCCGAGTCTTGGTAGTTGGAAAGGTAACTTGAACTTGCATGCCGCCACTCACCTAGGTTCTGACATCCTTACAGTCAGGTGTTGGAAAATCCACTTTGATCAATCGAATCTTCGGTGTGAACACTGCGGTTGAGTGGTTCAAATTCTGTGGCCCTAGCTGGCGTTGGCAATGGTTATAGAATGTAGCAAGGGATCAACCAGAGAAAGCAGACATTGAACAGGAATTCACTTCGCCACAGAACGACCGGCTGATTTTGCATGATAGCAAAGGTTTTGAGGCGGGCGATGCTGGCAACTATGAAACCGTGAAGTCATTCATAGTAGAGAGGAAGAAAGAACCCGATATCAAAAATCAGCTTCACGCGGTCTGGTACGTAGTTCTGAGACAGCCACGTTGAAGGTTTTGACGGAAGAGTCTACATGATTGGTTGTGTTTTCAGATACCCATTCCGACGTACGGTGAACGACTTTTGGAGGACGCTGCAGAAGCGTTTTTGAAAACAAGGAAGGAAGTCCTAGGGAATAGTGAGCAATTATATTGTTGTTTAATCTCCAGTATACCAACCGCATTCAGCGCCGACGATAGTCGTATTCACGAAGCATGGCCGGCTCGTGACTTTCATGCGGCAGAGAATGCCAAACGATCCTGAAGCAGGGCAACGATATCTACAAGAGGAATGCGTCCAGCAAATCAAAGACTTTACTGGAGAGAATATTGCACATGTTGCAGTTAGCTGTGGGTGTTACTCCTTCGATTCCGTTTTAACTACTCAGCCCAGAGACCACCAGCGAAACTCAGGTATGAGCACGAGCTTAGGGACCTAATAAGCATTACTCAGGACATGGTATCTATGAGTTTCACCTCCCCGGGGAATGAAGTATCGCCAGTGCCTCTGGCAGCTGCAGTGGCACAACGAATGTTGCCTACATTGAAGGTTGACTTATCAGTCGCGTAAGTGTCAATCATTGCGACAGTGCATGTATTTTGACTTGTTAAACAGCGTAGGAAAGCAAAGTAAGTCTGGATGTATGCGACGCTTTATTAGAGGCTGACCTTTTTACAAGAATACTGGAGTGCGCTGGGTACCAGCGCAAATTTCCTTGGTCATACAATACAGGACTGCCTTCGTGTCATACACAATGACATCGTGGCGGTCTGGAACTTTTATGACCCTTGCCAAGTGAGCATTGTTGCCCTAGCAGCGAGCCTTACTACGATGTGCTGACATCTCCCTTGTAGTACTTGAATAGTGAGGAATTCCGAAAGATAATGACGAACATGGTTGAGAGAGTGGATGCACCAGCCGAGCCAAATTCCCTCGCTCGCACCGACACATTGACTGGGTAAGTGTCGTTGGAACCCGCTGTGCGACAAGCTCAAGCGAATCGCTGCCCATCAAGGGGGGTCCCACTCATCGCTCTAGCACCTGTAATGCTGCCATTAAATGCTTTCCTCGGCCATGGCAAGTGGGTTCTTGCAACATACCAGCGACTGTGCGTGGCACTTTTGTGATGCTTTCAGCATCAGACGGCTCAGTGGCCTTCCAGACAAGACGTTCCCACAAAGTTCATGGCTTACATCGTTGATTTGACACACGTACTGGAAATACTGTTTTCACTCACGGCTGGGATAAGAGCAAAGAAGCTTACTCGTATGGCGGTTAAGATGGCATATAAAGCCTACCTTGAATCGCCATGGGTAATGTGCACCCACACGGAAATTAGGCATTTCCAATGTCCGACTACGACTCGTGATGCTGTCCTCGACAAGATCACATCCATGATCTCTTCAGACGGCAGGGAGGTTCAAGTGTCTACGGCGCTCGAAACGCTTCCACGAGTTGACCTGGAGAAAGACGAAGAGTGGATGGGCCAAGAAGTCCCGCAGTGAAGCTTGCGCATTCATTTAGCATCTTTTCCTGACGTTTTTGCGTGCTTTCATTAGTTTTCCTGTTGTATCACAGTCTGCCTTGTCTCGCTGTATTTGCACGTTGTAGCTGGCTTGGATCGAGTGTTTTTCGACAGAGAAGTCTTCGGGCAGTCGTCTGTAATACCTACACTATTGTCCACCTTACAACCCACATCTTGCCATTTTCCTGGAGGTTTACGAACGGCGCCCTGGCAAATCGCCACAACGGACGTATTGCGGTACAATGGACCACAGCCCGCGCTAGAATTAGCATCATCATCAGCATTTAGTTGAGTTGGCTTAGGATAAGTATGGAAAGCCAGACGGTCTCGCTCAGGTACATGGTAGGTGATGTGCCGAACACCTACTGGATTTGGTAGTCGACCACCTTGGGACCCGGGACAGACCCGGAAAAATACACATGGTGTTTATAGGTATTTATGCAGACTGCCAAGGTCGAGTCCAAGTAATGACATTCTAGTTACCGTAGTACTACACATGTATCAAGTACCACAGGCACTCGCCTTCTACTAATACCATGCCTTGCTGTGAGAGTGTCAGTGCAAAAGTGTGCTCGGAATCCCTACTATTCAGGGCGTTAAATTGCATCTCGGGTAGGTTTGCGGTGTCCTGGGTCCCAAGGGTGTCAATTACCAAGTCTAGCATTTACGGGTGCCTCGCCCCAAGCCTCGCCCACCGCCTTTCTTGTTAGATTTGGCAAGTCGCACGTAGCCCGTTCCGAACGCATCCGCTCTGGGTCGTGAGAACTATTTTCCGCTTTAGACCCTTTTCTTACTCAACACTATTACTGAACGCGCAAACTAACTCTCCGCGTCCTTATGTTTATTGTATTTACAGTGTCTCGCACTTATGTGCGAGTCCTCTTGTTATCCACGAAGACCATAGCGCGTCTCACAACGAGACAATACTTATTGTAAACGGGTTCAACACCCGGTGTTTCACTTCTATTGTTACATTACAGTATTTAGTTCTGCACTGTAGACCCCAATCACCTCAGACGTTGTCGCTGTCTGCGCGCGACTGAGGTGAGTACGATATCCTTCTGCTTACTTTACTATGCTTACCGCGCACCTAGTTACTTGTATAGGTAAATATATACAGACGTTGTCGCTGTCTGCGCGCGACTGAGTTACTTGTATAGATACTTCTGTAATTTCTGAGCTTGACCGTCCGGCTTTCCATAGATAAGTAAATGGATCGGCGCGTATTCGATTTCGTTTCAAAGATCTGCTCCACATGAGGGCGAAGTCAGGCCAGTGGCGGTAAAAGACAACGTACCTCAAATGACCAACAATATAGCTGCGACAGGGAACTTCAACTGTAGAGGCATACCTTCCGATTTCCGAAAGCCAATCTCGGTAGTGGTTCGTTCGTTGAGCGTCAGATTGCTCCGCAATCATGAATGGACTGGATTGGCTTGATTTCATTCAGCCTGATTGGGGGTGAGGCTCTAGGAGGGCAAACCAACAGCGCTGATGCATTTCCTGTCGTTGTGCTGTGATATGGCTGGTATTGGAAAGAAGGGTGAAGCGGGCCACCTGCATCGTGGCGGCCAACAACCTGCCAACAGTACTTCTTGGGCGCCTGACGACAGCATGTAAACGCACAGCAGCTTCCTAGTCGCTCACCATCTCGAGCCATGTCTTTGCCTTTACAGTTATCCTGTATGTCTTTGAGATTGTTGTTAACATCTTCACTGGACTAACTTTGTTGGCAGATATCGCGTTGGAAGGCGCAAAAGATGTGAAATCCGTAGAGCTCAACATCGATGGCACAGCATACACTATACCTCGAAGCCAACAGCGGAGTGACGCTTTTCGCAAAGACCTCGATGAACCTTTGTCAGTCTCGTTTAAACCGCACCTCCTCAAGTCCTTGACTGATTCACCGTAGAACGTTCGTTGCGGGGCAGCTCTCCATTTCCGTACGCCGAAAGAAGTCGCGTCTCCGTTTCTGGCACCAGCCGCCTTTTGAAACCTTCACGATTGGTTCGGGCGATGTTCACTCCAGATTGGAAGGAAATGGTATATTCCACCGTGTGCATCTTTCCTTCGACTCCTGAGACCCGTGCAGTGTTTCAGCAGAAACGGGGCGAGTTACTCATCACCCTCGGATTCGCATCCCAAACCCAAATAGCCGTACGTAAATAATAGATGCCACTGAATGGGTCCTGACAGAGGGCCTGCAGAGTAGAGTTCCGAACCTAAACCCAATTTCCCCCGCAGATACCGATACCGAGAGTCTACAACCAAATACCGAGCAGTCGGTAGTAGTGCGAAGCGTACCAATCGTAAGTGAAGAATCAAGCGCTGCAAGACGAGTCCTGATATGGAGGGCTTGCAGGATATTGCAGTCAGCAGTACAGGCACATTTCAGACGTCAAACTCCGAAGGTTTACAGCCAACCACTCAGGAACTGATTGACACTTGTCCTCGGTGAGTACCACATCCCCACGTTTGGACAGTTGATTCATCTATGTGCAATAGCTTTCGAGTCTTGGTAGTTGGAAAGGTAATCTCAGCTTGCACCCGTCACTCGAGCAGATCCCAATAAAGGTATCCTTGTAGTCGGGTGTAGGGAAGTCGACTCTGATCAATCGAATCTTCGGTCTGGAAGTTGCGGTTGAGTGATTGAAGGTTTTCATTCTTACCTTACATTAACGAACTTGATAGCATGTCGCAAAAGATCGACCAGGGCAAGCAGCTATCGAGAAAGAACTCATTTCACAGGAGAACAACAGATTCATCTTGCACGACAGCCGAGGTTTCGAACCAGCCGAAGGCAGCAACTATGACGTCGTGAAGTCATTCATAGAAGAGAGGAAGAGAATGCCAGATGTCAAAGATCAGCTTCATGCGGTCTGGTACGTCCTTCTGAGATAGACATTTGAAGGTTCCGACAGCTGATGCACACAATAGGTTATGTTTCCAGGTACCAATTCTAAAATACGGCGAACGGCTGCTGGAGGACGGTGTGGAAGCATTCCTGAGAGAAGCGAAGGAAGCCTTAGGGAGCAGTGAGCAAAACTATTCTCTTCGCATCTCCTGTTTACTGACTACTGCTAGTCCCGACTATAGTGGTATTTACCAAGTACGACAGACTTGTAAGTTTCGTGAGAAAGAAGAAATCAGCAGACCCTGAGGCGGAGGCAAAACGATATTTGCAAACGTATTGCATCGAGCCAATTCAAGACTTCACGGGAGGCACGAACATCTCGCATGTTGCGGCTAGCTGTGGGTATCATTTCACTAATTCCTTGCTACCATTCAGCTCAGACATCACTAGCGAAACACAAGTGCGAGCGAGGGCTCGAGGAGCTGATAAACCTCACTCAGGAAAAGGTATCTAAGAATTTCGCCTCCCCGGGGAATGCAGTATCGCCAGTGCATTTGGCGGCTGTAGGGGCACAACGAATGTTACCGACATTGAAGGTTGAGTTGTCCATCGAGTAAGCCTCGTTCATGGCGATCATGACATCTGGTCTAAATTGATTCCCAATTAGAGTAGGAAAGCAGAGTGAGTCCTGGCGTATAAAGCAACGTATTAGGTTACTCAATCCCTTCTACCTACAAGGATACTGGAGGGCATTGGCTTCCAGCGCAAATTTCCAGGGTTATACCATGCTGAACTGTCTTCGTGTCATACACACCGACATCGTGCTAGTATGGAACTTTTATGATCTTGACGATGTGAGCCTTGTGACCTTATTACTGAGCTCTAGCTCTATAGGACATACTCAAATCTTCCTCCTAGTATCTGAATAGCTCAGAATTTCAAAATCTGATGATGAGCATGGTTGAGACTGTTGATGCGGCCACTAGGTCAACAGCTGAACCTGCCCCTCTCGGACGTAGTGACACGTTTTCCAGGTAAGCGCTGCTGTACGAATTGCTACGTGACAAGCTCAAGGAAGGTGTCCCACTCCAAGCAACCCCATACCGCTTCTAACTCTAGCGCCTGTGGTCCTGCCATTCGCTGCCTGCGTAATCCTGGTCACATGGGCTTATGAAACATATCAGCGACTGTATGTGGAACTTTTACCCTGCTCAGGGCGTCAAATGATACATGTTTTGCCAGGCAAAAAGCTCACCAAAAGTTTATGGCTTACATCGTTGATTTGACACATGTTCTAGAGATACTGTTCTTGCACACCGCCGAGGCGAAGGGAAAGAAGCTTACTCGCAGAGCGATTAAGTTGGCTTTCAAAGCTTACTATGAATCGTCGTGGATGAGGAACGTTCACACGGACATTAGGCTTTTCGAAGGGCGAATCGGTGCTCAGGACCCTATTCTGGAGAGGATCACATTCTTAATCTCTTCCGCTGACGCGGAGGCCAACGTGCGTGCGGCAATAGAAGGACTCCCACCATTTGACTCGGGGGTAGATGAAGAGTGGGACGATGGTCGGCAAGGTCGCTGAAGCCTGTGTTTCCACTCGGCGTTCCCCTTGAAGTTTTCATGATTTCTCCAGTTTTCACTGTTATCTTGCACTCATCATGTCATCGCTTCTCTATTGTCTTGCAGTTGCGCTTGTACGTTGGTCAAACCAGAGTGGATTCCTTTCGGGCTACAAGAGCAGCATGTACATAAGTAGTACTGATACATAACAGATGTGTGTACCGAATGTCGTCCAGAAATAACTCAAACGTGAACTTTGCCTGCGTGATGGCAAAGTGTGGCTCTACTCGGTAGAAAATGAATGATTTTACCCGAGGTACATCCGATGAGTTTATTCCTGGATGTCGTCAGGCCAGGTCTGTAAACTCTTTGTCACCAATGATCATTCAGGACTTTAGGACCATTAACTCTGGTCATGTGGGCTTAGGGGGTGGGGAACATTGCATCTGCAAAAGCTAAGTGTCAAGTTGGCTGGCCAACTTGACACTTAGCATTTACCTGGTGAAGTAACAGTGTGTGCCGAGCTCTCAAACAATTCAAAAAGCTGTCCAAAGTGTATGCTGTAATTCAACTGTTTTACAGATGTGGATACACTGGGGTTTTGCAACTGTTTGGTCACCCAATGTCATGCAGACAACCTGGTCATGGACCACCACATGATTTTGCATGATTGCCTGCACTGTCAGATGTGTGTGGATGCCCTCCATGGTGATGAATGCACTGCTACTTGTATGACACTGTTATATGTGTTTTGACAGTTAAAACATGCATGGCAGGGGAGATGCTTTGTCTCTGTACTGCAAGCAGCTACTTTGTCACAAATTTCTTGGGCATGTGCTAAGAACCTTATAATACATGTTAAGGGTGGCTGTTCACACTTCTGTCATAAGCCATGCCAATGCCACCCATGCACATCATTGAAAGATTGCCAGAAATGGATATTCCATACATAATATTTTACACATTTGCCCTATATCTTAGATGAAATGGTATATATTTGCTATGATCTAGCCAAACCTGAACATTATAATAGTGCACCTCAAAGTTGCTAGAGGTTCAGCTAATTCCTCAGGTGTCTGTCAGGTGTTTGTGGTGAGTTTCAGCTGAGAATATCAGTATTCAAACTCCAACTGCTCTCATTGAATACATTGTCCATAGCTGCCATGGAGTCTGAGCTGTCTGCTCCTCCCCTGGCATCACAACCCACCAGATTGACCCCATGTAGTCCATTTAGTCACAACATATAGGTAGCCTGCATGCCAAAATGCCAACACTTATATAGACCCCATGATGGGCCTGTCTAAATAGATTAGCCATGACACATGGACAGGCCTGAGGGCCTATAGTGAGAGCAACATATGTACAGGCCCATAAGCACAATTCCACAACATATGGGAGGGCCTGTGGAGGGTAAGGATGCTGGAACATATAGATGGATCCATGACCAAGTAAGTATGCTGAGCTACTGTAAGACATGGATGAGCTTGTCCATGGTAGGGTGCACCCCAGTCACAATATCAGGATGGGCCTGCCTATTGTATCATGAAGAAGGTTGCAACATATGGATGGGACTGCCCATTGTATGCTTTATAGGGTCACAACATAAAGAGGGGCCCCTCTATGATAGATTACAGAGTTGGCAACATATGGAAGGGCCTGTCTTTGGGATAATATACCCTCGTCACAACATATAGATGGGCCTGTCTTTGGGATAATATACCCTCGTCACAACATATAGATGGGCCTGTCCATAGCAAGATGTACACCTGTTGCAACATAAGGATGGGCTCATCAGTAATATCATTGACAGCATCACAACACATAGATGGGCCCATCTAGTAAGATGCATCCCTGCCACAACATGAAGATGGGCCCATCAGTAATGTCATTTATAGCATCACAACATATGGACAGGCCCTTCTGTAATACCATTTATACCATCACAACACATGGGTGGGCCCATCCATAGTAAGATGTACCTGTTGCAACATAAAGACAGGCCCTTCAATATATATCATTTACAGGGTCACAACACATGGATGGGCCTGTCTAGTAAGATGCACCCACATCACAACATAAAGATGGGCCTTTCAGCAATATCAGTTACACAGTCACAACACATGGGTGGGCCCATCAATAGCAACATGTATGCCTGTTGCAACATAAAGACAGGCCCATCAGTAATATCAATCACATGGTCACAACACATGGATGGGCCCATCAATAGCAACATGTATGCCTGTTGCAACATAAAGACAGGCCCATCAGTAATATCATTTACAGTGTCACAACACATAGACAGGCCCATCCAGTAAGATGCACCCCTGTCACAACATAAAAACAGGTCTGTCAGTAATATCATTTACAGTGTCACAACACATAGATGGGCCCATCCAGTAAGATGCACCCCTGTCACAACATAAAGATGGGCCCATCAGTAATATCATTTATAGCATCACAACATATGGATGGGCCCTTCTGTAATATCATTTATACCATCACAACACATGGGCAGGCCCATCCATAGTAAGATGTACCTGTTGCAACATAAAGACAGGCCCTTCAATATATATCATTTACAGGGTCACAACACATGGACAGGCCCATCTAGTAAGATGCACCCATGTCACAACATAAAGATGGGCCAGTCAGTATTATCAATTACATTGTCACAACAGATGGATGGGCCCATCTAGTAAGATACACCCCTGTTGCAACATAAGATGGGCCTGTCAGTAATATCAATTACATGGTCACAACACATGGACAGGCCCATCAATAGCAACATGTATGCCTGTTGCAACATAAAGATGGGCCTGTCAGTAATATCATTTACAGTGTCACAACACATAGATGGGCCTGTCTAGTAAGATGCACCCCTGTCACAACATAAAGATGGGCCCATCAGTAATATCATTTATAGTGTCACAACATATGGAAGGGCCCTTCAGCAGTATCATTTATGCAGTCACAACATAAGGACAGGCCCTTCAGCAGTATTATTTATATGGTCATAACATATGGACAGGCCCTTCAGTAATATCTTTATATTGCCATAAAACAAGGACAGGTCTGTCTAGTAAGATCCACCCCTGTTGCAACATAAGATGGGCCCAACACCAATAGCACATATAGTGTCACAACATATTGATCAGATCACAGCAAAATATTGAGGCAAGCATCCTGACATGCTGTAATTTTCCAACAAGCTGCAAGCAGCTTG